AAAAGTCATGGGGTTCCTGACTGACCTAAAGGTTTAAAATTATCATTGCATCATGAGCTAAATCCAGAATTTTGTTTCAGAATCTGAGACAAAGTTACCGGATCCCTTTAAAGGTAAAGACTAGTATTGGAAACGCCCCAATTTCAATAAATGAAATGGTAGCTCTTATTACCAATCATGTGAAAGAATATGTTTTGACTAATACATGTAGATGATGATAAAATTTATGCCGGGAAACCGCTTATTAATTGATATATTTGGTAAATTAGTTTCTCTATTGGGATGTGAGAGATAAACGCACATGTCCCGCATGTGTGCCTAGTCCCATATACATCTTTCTGTGTACAGTGCTTGTAACTTTACCAAGACTGGACCAAATATCTTATCATTTTGATGATTTCAGAACCTTGCAGTACTACCATGGACTTACACACCAATACTTACATGTATATGCTAGATGATCAACCTTTTCTGATCGATTCCATGTTTCTTTCACAATGCAATAGCATGACCATAACTGGTCTTTATCTTTTACCCTTAATTTTGCTTAGCCAAAACATGTACTAACTTTTGGGGCTTTTCACACGGGTCAATGTCGCTATTCATAAGGACCGCTATTCATAAGGTCCGCTATTCATAAGGTCCATTATTCATAAGGACCGCTATTCATAAGGTCCGCTTTTCATAATTGGAGAAAAGGGTCATTATTCATAAGGACCGCTATTCATAATCAAAGAAGAGGGTCGGTATTCATAATATTAGAAGAGGGTCGCTATTCATAATAGGAAAACGGGGTCGTTATTCATAAGGGTCCCTATTCATAATATTACAAAAGGGTCGGTATTCATAACACAGAAAGAGGGTCGCTATTCATAATACGAAATGAGGGTCGCTATTCATAATACAAAATGAGGGTCGCTATTCATAATGCAAAATGAGGGTCGTTATTCATAAGGGTTATTATTCATAAGGGTCATTATTCATAATAAGAAATGAGGGTCGCTATTCATAAAAGGAGAAGAGGGTCGCTATTCATAATAGAAGAAGAGGGTCGCTATTCATAATAGGAGAAGAGGGTCGCTATTCATAATAGAAGAAGGGGGTCGCTATTCATAATAGAAGAAGAGGGTCGCTATTCATAATAGGAGTAGAGGGTCGCTATTCATAATAAGAAATGAGGGTCGCTATTCATAATAGAAGAAGAGGGTCGCTATTCATAATAGGAGTAGAGGGTCCCTATTCATAAAGAGAAATGAGGGTCGCTATTCATAATAGGAGAAGAGGATCGCTATTCATAATAGAAGAAGAGGGTCGCTATTCATAATAGGAGCAGAGGGTCGCTATTCATAATAAGAAATGAGGGTCGCTATTCATAATATGAGAAGAGGGTCGCTATTCATAATAGGAGAAGAGGGTCGCTATTCATAATAGAAGAAGGGGGTCGCTATTCATAATAGAAGAAGAGGGTCGCTATTCATAATAGGAGTAGAGGGTCGCTATTCATAATAAGAAATGAGGGTCGCTATTCATAATAGAAGAAGAGGGTCGCTATTCATAATAGGAGTAGAGGGTCGCTATTCATAAAGAGAAATGAGGGTCGCTATTCATAATACGGCCCCCCCCCCCTCGGCTACGTTCCTCGTCCTGTAGGGGGGGGGGGGGCGATATATAGCCCTGAATAGTTGTCTCTTTTTAAAGTAACTAAATTTTATCTGTTATCTTTGATAATTATATAGAGCCAACCCCTGCTCATGTGGTGACGAAAAAAAAGTAAAACATAACACACATGTAATCCTATCGTAAATTTTCCTCCTTGTTGGAATTCTTGCCCCATCACCCTGCCCCCGACTGATCTTATCCAGGCTACGCCACTGAGATATTAGGTACGCCAAGCAGGCCCATTATCCATTTTAGCTTGCTATGTAAGAAACTAGTAATTGTTTATACGACAATAATGTTTTTGTAGAAAGTAATTTTTATTAGGACTTATGGACCTACAAATTACTGAGCGGAATTGGACCTGACAATTGGACCTAAGCCCAGTATCTACCGATCCCCCGAGCCCCCCCCCCCCCATCAGTACGCCCCGGCGCGGATCCAGAATTTTCCAATTGGGGGGGGGGGGGACGGAAATTTGAAAAATGCGCAGACCGTTTTTTCAACTCAACATACCAATACTGACAAGGTCATATTAGAAGCACGATACGGGTACCTAGAAGCAGGAACAATTTTGGAAAGGGGTGCAAGCTCACTCCACGTCTCTTGTCCGATATCAACATTCCCCGTTTTTAAGATATACATTTTTTTGACATTTTCATCTGGGGGGGGGGGGGGGGGGGCTAAAGCCTCTTGCCCGATTATTTTCTAGTTCACAATTCTGCTTGTGAGCGAAACGAGCGAGCAAAAATTTGAGCATTATATGTTTTTTGTGAAAGTGTTATTTATCACCAAGATAAACGAGAAAAGATATCAAAAATTCATATTCGGGCAGCTTGCTGCCCCCCCCCCCCTCCCCTCCCCCCACCCATTACGCGCGAAAGCTTTGAACTTTCATTAATTATTAGAAAAAGAAGACGATTTATTGTACTATTCTCGACTCTTAATCCTTGTCTGAATTCAGTTTTCCCCCTCGCTTTTACCTTTCATTAATTATTAGAGAAAATTACGATTTGTTGTACCGTTCTCGATTCTTAATAATTGTCTGAATTCTATTCCCCCCTCTTGCGCAAAGCGCGTAAGCTTTGACCTTTCATTGTTTAATGCAATTATTAGAGAAAAAAGATGATTCGTTGTTCCATTCTCGACTCTTAATCCTTGTCTGAATTCAGTTTCCCCCCTCCCGCGCAAAACGTGGAAGCTTTGATGTTTCATTAAATTATTAGAGAAAGAAGAGGATTTGAAGAGAAATGAATATATGATATGAATAGCGACCCCCTACTCCTATTATGAATAGCGACCCTCATTTCCTATTATGAATAGCGACCCTCTTCTCCTATTACGAATAGCGACCCTCTTCTCCTATTATGAATAGCGACCCTCTTCTCCTATTATGAATAGCGACCCTCATTTCCTATTATGAATAGCGACCCTCTTCTCCTATTATGAATAGCGACCCTCTTCTCCTATTATGAATAGTGACCCTCTTCTTCTATTATGATTAGCGACCCTCATTTCCTATTATGAATAGCGACCCTCTTCTCCTTTTATGAATAGCGACCCTCTTTTCCTATTATGAATAGCGACCCTCTTCTCCTATTATGAATAGCGACCCTCTACTCCTATTATGAATAGCGACCCTCTTCTCCTATTATGAATAGCGACCCTCTTCTCCTATTATGAATAGCGACCCTCTTCTCTTATTATGAATAGCGACCCTCTTCTCCTATTATGAATAGCGACCCTCTTCTCCTATTGTGAATAGCGAACCTCATTTCGTATTATGAATAGCGACCCTCTTCTCCTATTATGAATAGCGACCCTCTTCTCCTTTTATGAATAGCGACCCTCTTCTCCTATTATGAATAGCAACCCCCTTCTCCTATTATGAATAGCGACCCTCATTTCCTATTATGAATAGCGACCCTCTTCTCCTATTATGAATAGCGACCCTCTTCTCCTATTATGAATAGCGACCCTCTTCACCTATTATGAATAGCGACCCTCTTCTCCTATTATGAATAGCGACCCTCTTCTCCTATTATGAATAGCGACCCTCATTTCCTATTATGAATAGCGACCCTCTTCCCGTGTTATGAATAGCGACCCTTATAAGTAATGAACCTTATTTCGTATTATGAATAGCGACCCTCTCGTCGTATTATGAATAGCGACCCTGATTTCATATTATGAATAGCGGTCCTTATGATTAATGACCCTTATTATGAATTATGAATAGCGACCCTCATGTCACGTTATGAATAGCGGTCCTTATGATTAACGAACCTTATTTCATTATGAATAGTGACCCTCTTTTGCCATTATGAATAGCGGACCCGGAAGTACGGGAATTTGCACGTTATGAATAGCGGTCCTTATGAATAGCGGACCTTATGAATAGCGGTCCTTATGAATAGCGAATAGACCCCTTTCACACAAGTATGCTTTTTTAAGTCCTGTAATAAGAAAATTCATGCTGTTCTCACTGCAATTAATTTTCCCCATACTGTAGCTGTGAAGCGTGAATATTCACTGATTCACTCCATTGCGTAGTACCTGAATTTTTTCGTTTCTGTTCTCATTCATTTGCCTTGCACTGCAATTGTGGAGTTAGCACCACATTTGCGGGATAAGCCATGCAGCTATTTTGCAGGGCCAGCTAACCCTGTACTATACATGTAGGTGGGGCTGACCCACTTTGGTAAATATGTGTTTGAACAGAAAGTGGAATAAGCTTAAGACCAGACTATAGCCTAGGTGGGGCTAAGACCCCCCTTCAACCCCACCTACAGTACATGTATAGTCCGGGGTTAAAGGTATAGACAAGTTCTGGTCATGTGATTGCATTGTGAAAGAAACATGGAATCAATCATAAAAGGTTGATCATCTAAAATATAAGTATTGGTGTGTACTGCAAGATTCTCTGGGATCGTCAAAATGATAAGAAATTTTGCCCAGTCTTGGTAAAGTTACAAGACATGTATATAGACAGGATTTTAATACTTAAAGGGAAATAAAACCCAAATAGACAACTACTCTTAATGAAAACAGATAAACCAGAGAAGCAAACTGATGAAAGATTCAATTAAAACTGACGAAATATAAAAAAGTTATGAATTGTTGAAAGTTGTAATCACTATACGTATGGGAACTTCAAATTGGCTGAAGCGGTAATGTCAATGTGATGTAGTGCGGGACTAATTTCCCATCTGTTCCAACATATGAAATAAACTACATGTACAGGTCTACATGTATAATGAATGTTTAATGTTTAAAAGGACAAAAAAAAATTGTGATTACTCTTTTTTTTCCATCTTTTTTCCATCTTTGTTTTCATTTTTCAGAGACATGGGCAGAAGTCTGCAAATAAGCACTTCCAGACTTGGACTTGGACTTGGAGTGAATCAGTACTTTGGATATATGCTACCTCTGTGTTTTTTTTTTTATCCCACAGAAAGTTTGACATGGAATTGAGGGGGGGGGGGGTGCAATATAGTTTTAATCCACACTTTTGTGAAAAATGAGTTACATCCATTTCCATCAGCTTTCTAGATTGTTCTTCATCTTCTGACAATTAAAAAAAAAGGAAATCAACTGATTAATAGGGAAATGAATAAATATTCTTCTCCTGAAAACAAGCAATTATCTGAACACAAAAAAAAAGTAACTCCCCCTTAATCAAAATGGCGTAGCTTTTTAAAGAAAAGGTTTTGAGCAAAATAAATTGGCAGGACTGTTCCTATATTTATTGACTAACTTTTCTCCCGAAATAAAATTGCTCCATTGAGTAATGCATGAGTGGACAAACAGGCAAAATTTTTCACTTTTCAAAAGTCACAGTGGTTATGTTTTATGCTGTTTTGACAGTACATTTTAGCTTTTCTTACACTATTTTTACACTATTTTTAAAGTTTGCTCACCCAAGCATGACACGATTACAACCTCTTGAGTTCACACAACTTGTGATGAAACATTTTAGTTAAAAAATTATTAATTTTGCTCACCCAACAATAATATTGAAAAAAGTGTTGGGATAGGTGTAAGGTGGTCAAGCAATGTATGATAAACAACAACAACACAAAAACATGCACCAGAAACTAAATTCGCTAAAATCTTGTTTCACAGAATCCCCTAAATGACCCTTACAAGTATGACTTTAGAAAAGTGAGAGTGACAATTTTCCCTTTAATGTTTGCTCATTCATGCATGACTTGGTAAATCAATCATATCTTCACAGAAAAGTTAGTCAATAAATATAGGAACACTCCTGCCAAGATTATTTTATTAAATACCTTGTCGTTAAAAAGTTACGCAATTTGGATTGAGGGGGAGTTACTTTTTGTGTTGTGTTCAGCATGAAAAATGTGCTAACCCATGCATTCCATTCTGGAGGCGCCCATGACAGATATTGTTTGGTAAAGAAAAGTGCATAATTTGTCAACAAAATGAATTTTATTCTGCAAAGAACACAAGGGATCTGACTTTCAAGATACATGTATGTAAATTTATTATTTTTGTCTAAAAGGGAGTTAGATGCACAAATATGAATTTAAATTATAATTTTTGGTCATTGGAGGATAGCACTGTATTCATTTAAATTTTTTGGAGGTGTTTATTTTTTCAAATGATTTCCAGTTTAAATTAAACATAAAGGTATTTAGTGGTAGACAGAGATTAATCAGGTTTCCATGTATAATATGCTACATGTACCCTCCATAAGTCAGATCTGATTTCACCCAAGTTTTATTTATTATTACACTTATGGCAATGCAATGATTAAGTACCGGTACCAAAGTGAAGAGTAAACATCAGCCTTGGAGTTGGCACTAGTAGGCGCATTTATACTGTCAAATACCTCATTTTGAAAAGTCGCGATGTTTCGCGCACCCTTTTACACTTGTGCGGAAACATCACCTACTGAAAAGCTCAGTGATGTCTTGGCGTGTTTCAGTTGGTAATGCGCATGCGCAGCACTCCGATGCAAACACTTTCCTCTTTCTATCTTCCCTTGTTATTCTTTGTTTTTCCTTCTATCGCCTTCTCTTATGTTATTCTTTATCACTTCCTTCTATCACTTTCTCTTTCTGTGTTTCCTTATGTTATTCTTTATGTATTCCTTTTATTACCTTCTCTTATGTTATTCTTTGTTTTTTTGATCATTCTATCACTTTCTCTTTCTGTCTTTCCTTATGTTATTCTTTGTTTCTTCCTTCTATCACTTTCTCTTTCTGTCTTTCCTTATGTTATTCTTTGTTTCTTCATTTTTGTATCACCCAGGCCTGATAAAACCCGATTTAAATCGGTTTCCCGATTTTTTTTAATTTTTCCCGATTTTTTCCCGATTTTTTTTTTTTTTCCCGATTTAAAAAAAAAAAAAAAAATCCAGATTTTTTTTTTTTTTTTTTTTTACCAATTTTTTTTTTCTTCTCTAGTTTATCCTGATTTTCCCGATTTCCCTATTATTTTCTCTATTCTTCCCAATCTTGCCCTATTTTTTCCCCAATTTTGTCCCAATTTTCTTACTCGAAAGGGGGGAATGTTAAAAGCCATTTTTTCCCCGCGAATCCTCTTTTTTTTTTTTACTCAAGGGGGCGTGGTTGAGGGAAAAACAAAAAACCTATTTTTTTTGTAGTGCTCACTATCACCCCTGATCACCTTCTCTTATGTTATTCTTTGTTTCTTCCTTCTATCACCTTCTCTTATGTTATTCTTTGTTTTTTATCATTCTATCACTCCCTCTCTCTGTGTTTCCTTATGTTATTCTTTATTTATTCCTTTTATCACCTTCTCTTATGTTATTCTTTGTTTTTTAATCATTCTATCACTTTCTCCTTCTGTCTTTCCTCATGTTATTCTTTGTTTCTTCCTTCTATCACTTTCTCTTTCTGTCTTTCCTTATGTTATTCTTTGTTTCTTCCTTTGGTATCACCTTGTCTTATGTTATTCTTTGTTTTTTATCATTCTATCACTCCCTCTTTCTGTGTTTCCTTATGTTATTTTTTGTTTCTTCCTTCTATCACCTTCTCTTATGTTATTCTTTGTTTTTTATCATTCTATCACTCCCTCTTTCTGTGTTTCCTTATGTTATTCTTTGTTTCTTCCTTCTATCACCTTCTCTTATTTTATTTTTTGTTTTTTATCATTCTATCACTTCCTCTTTCTGTGTTTCCTTACGTTATTCTTTGTTTCTTCCTTCTATCGCCTTCTCTTATGTTATTCTTTGTTTTTTATCATTCTGTCACTCCCTCTTTCTGTGTTTCCTTATGTTATTCTTTGTTTTTATCATTCTATCACTTTCTCTTTCTGTCTTTTCTTATGTTATTCCTTATGTTATTATTTGTTTCTTCCTTCTATCACCTTCTCTTATGTTATTCTTTGTATATATCGTTCTATCATTTTCTTTAAGGACGACATCTAGCTCCGCTCCTAAAGTTATGTCACCTAACATCGCGATGTTACAACTGCAAGCGTTTATACTTGCCAAACACGCCAAAACACGCCAAAAGATCACACTTCGATTTGGAATGTTTTGGAATTGGCATTTCTGCCGGTAATGCGTAGTTGCCCTTAGTAACATCACAGTCAGGCTCCGGTTTGGCATTTTTTGGCGTGTTTGGATGACAGTGTAAATGCCCCTAGTGTAACCATTATAAACTGTTTCAGGAAGCACTCGTGCATTAACAAAGGCAATCGCATATTTTTTATGGAGAGGGGGGGGGGGGGGGAGGAGGGATTGACACACCCCCCCCCCCCCCCCCCCCCACAGTAAGGATAGGGTTTAAGTTGGTCTTGCATGCAGCTTCCTGAAACGGTTACACTGGTGCTAACTTCAAGGCTGATGTTTACTCTTCACTTTGGTACTTAATTAGTGCAGTACCACAAGTGCGATGATAAATAAAATGTTGGTGAGTGTGAAAAACCAGTTCTTATTACTTTTAGAGGGCAGTGTATTTCACTCAGAGTAAATTTTAATTTTTAGTTACTACTTTACATTGCAGAACACTTTTTACACTGTTTCTTATTGGTTAGCACTATATTGCTCTGAAAAAAGCATTGATTTTTTGTTTTGTTTTGTTTTGTTTAGGGGGGGGGGGTAATTGTTTAAAACTTGATGTCATTTTCCAAAACTTCCAAAAAATATTATCAAAAGACACACTTGGGGGTTAACACTTTATTGCACCTACGCCCTTGGCTAGAATAGTATTTTTAATTAGCTCAACTTGAACCATTCTTAGTAAGATTAGAAATGTACTTATTAATTACTGTTTTGTAGTTATTAACCACTTGACTGCTACCCATATGTGTATGTATGCCTGTGCTTACCACGTACATGTACGTGCTTAGGGCAGTGCACTTTCAAGACCATAGCACTGCATAATGCCAAGCCCTGCTGTGTAATTAACACTGCTATGATGTTATACAGGTCTTGAACAGTAGATGGCGCTCTTCCAAAAAAATATGGTTTTGATGTGTACAGTGTACAGTTTTTGTCAGGTTTTTGTACAGTACAAAAATGCTGTAGCACAGGGGGTATGAACGCGTTTTAAGCCAATAGCAGTCAAGTGGATAAGCTGTGGAAAAAATAGACAAAACATTTGATTACTTTCATAATTTGCAATATGTTCATTAAATGCAACATATTATTTTTATTATTATTGTTATTATTATTAGCCATCAAGTGTTATGATAATAATAATAATAACACATGTAATAGTAAAAATTATATTGCAGAATGCATTGTGATAATTTGTCATTTATTTTTAAAGTTATAATCCATTATATGCCATTGTTACATCTACTATTATCAAAGCCATAGTTACAAGAATTAGTTGTTGGTATTCAACTAACAACCCTAAAAAAGCTGAGTCTTATGAATCCATCTCACAGCTAAGGGGGGGGGTGGATCTCCACCATAAGACCTCGATGGTCAACCACGCGTTCGCCACAAAAGTCTGCATGCACGTCACCCACAAATTAATGTTCAAAACTGTTTACCGGTGGTCAATTTCATTAATTCAATAATCAATTGATTATGCTGATTTATGCGAGTTCTGAACTTTGCTCTAATCAAACTAAGCTTCAAAACTGCCAATTTTGTGTATAGACACTCTCTGTAAGACTCTGATCAAATGTTCTTTTAAAAATTTGGTATCAAAAGTTTTTCTTATGTGTTTTATTATTATTATTTTTTTTATTTCTTACTATTTTCTTTGTTTTACAATTTTTTTTTATATTTTTTTTTTAGATGGAATTTGTCGATGACACATTTACGATCATAAACAGCATGGAATCGATTGGTTTTAATCAGTAAAGGCAAGAATAATATACATTTATGAATTTTGGCTGAAAAAAATTTTGTATTGGAATTGTACATGAAGCCATGTTTTTGAGCAATGTTTGGTCTGAGGTGCGCAACTTCAAAACCACATGTGTGGACGTCGCGAATTTGGACAAAAAAATTGTGCAAGACTCAAAAGAAAAAGTCAATACACACTGTGTCTACTGCGTTGCAGGCATGTTGCGTGAAACGATGGGCCTTTTACTGTTAAGATGGTATGTACATGTAGATGAAAAATGTAATGCTGATGCTAGAGGTGCAGCTGTAGTACTTTGGCTCTTTATATGCAATCATTTTTGATATATTATCTTTGTAATCATATACATGTACATAAATTATGTATGCTTGTTATATAGTTTATAGGGCCTACAGGGTAACCTTATTACAAGATCTTCACCTTGTTATCAGGCTTTCAGTGGTACCTCATTAAGAGCGGTTCCTCATGTTACCTTGCTGTAAATTGAAAACCCATGATAATAATAATATAACATGTGTAGGGGAGACTGGAAGTTCAGTGGGACACTCCATTATCTTAATAAATATGAAGACAATGTTAAATTCATTTACATCAGTCAAAAGGCTTCACTCAATGCCATTTAAAAATATGCCAAAAACCACTGTAAACTTGTTCACACAAGTACAGGATAAGCGCCTTATTTTCACTACTTTTATTACTGATTTTAAACATTTATTCAGATTTGTTTTTGCGGTTCCGAACGGGTGATCTGACATTTGCTCCTGCGACAATTGCTCGCCTTATTTTCTTCAAAGGTATAGGGTTATGGTTCTGGTTGTGATAGGTTTCTTGGTTCAGAATAATAGGAGGATAAGGATTAAGGTTAGTGTTAGGTTTGGGTTTAGGGTCCATGATTGGCTTAATATGCAGACTTTCCATTGGAGCAAGTGTAGCCAGAACAAATGTCATGGAATCTCCCAAGTGGATACCCCTTGTGATAGT